TATCCGGAATTGGTCAGGGTGAAGGGCCTCCCACTAGCATCTCACCTGACCAATTTGCAGCGTTTTTAAAATCCAAAGTGGAGGTCATCCTCCGTGACCTTTCTCCTTTTTTAAACACAATGGATCGAGCAGAGATGTCCAGCGCTCCGTCTTGCCCAGTAATTCTCGACTCCCTTCAGCTTGTAACACCAGATTGGGTAGACAAGGCGCTTGATCGCTGTTGGGCCACCACCTCTTCTCTCGACCCTTGCCCGGCCTGGCTAATCAAAGCATCCAGGCCGGTAACAACTGAATGGGCCACTGCAATAATTAATAGCATGGTGTTTTCAAAAGCCAATTAAAAACTTGGTTATTTAAACAGGCCTTCCCCCCAGTCAATTAAGTGATTTTCTCTTTCTTTTTCTTCTTTTGAGTATTGCCATCTTGGAAATCTGTTGCTTAGAATTAATTGTATAATTGCATTTTATATGCTATTTTAACATGTTTTAACTTATGTAAGCCGCCCCAAGTAGACATTGTCTAGAGGGGAGGGGTAAAAATCGAATAAATAAATAAATAAAATAAAAATTATAAGGAGCATTGATGAGGCTGCTTGCACACATTAAGTGAGCATGATTTAGCCTGATCCATTTCCCTTGTTGAGCTATCTCTTGGGCTTCATTTAGTTGCTTTTTTGTGCACACAGCAAAGAGAGGAGAGGATGAACCATTACGGACTAGTTAAGGGTTGGCACATAAATGAAGTCAGCACATTAAAATTTATCAACTGATCAGGGAACTGAGTAAATAATTCAAGCTGCAACCTAGATTAAACATTTAAAAAATATATTGCATTTATATTTATCTTAAGATGCTGAATACATTTGTTTAAGTTTTCCTTGGTGGAGATACAGTATATCACAGAAGTGAGTACACCCCTCACATTTCATAAATATTTTAGTATATCTTTTCATGTACTCACTTCTGTTGCCAGCGGTTTAGACCATAATGGCTGTGTGTTGCGTTATTTTGAGGGGACAGCACATTTACACTCTTATACAAGCTGTACACTCACTGCTTTACATTGTAGCCAAGTGTCATTTCTATAGTGTTGTCACATGAAAAGATATACTAAAATATTTATGAAATGTGAGGGGGTGTACTCACTTCTGTGATACACTGTAAAACTACAACGGGAATCCTATTGTTGCTTGTGTATAGTATGTGCAGTTCTCCACAGTTAACAGATAAGGTGCCAGGGCACTGTGCCTGACTGCACAACTAGCGTGCCTGACTGCACAACTAGCATACACCCCAGTACCTCTTCAAATAAATAAATAAATAGATAGATAGACAGACAGACAGATAGATAGATAGATAGCTAGATAGATAGATAGCTAGATAGATAGATAGCTAGATAGATAGATAGCTAGATAGATAGATAGCTAGATAGATAGATAGCTAGATAGATAGATAGCTAGATAGATAGATAGCTAGATAGATAGATAGCTAGATAGATAGATAGCTAGATAGATAGATAGCTAGATAGATAGATAGCTAGATAGATAGATAGATAGATAGAGTGGCAACTGAGTACTAAATTTCAGACTTTTCAAAACAATTTTTCAGATTAAGGTAACAGGCAATTTCATTTGCAGGTGGGTGATGGTCATGAACTGACACTCAAAATGTTGGTGGATGAGTTTCAGGTGCCTGTCACAAATTTTATTCTGCCTAGTAATGGTGAGGTAAACTATTTTGGGCAGGTAGCCAGCCTAAGATATTGGATGAAAGTAGATGAAGCCATCCAAACACTGACCTTAGAACCACAATGACACTACTGTGGTATTGTTATGTGGTCACAAGTAGAGATAGGGGCTTCGTATTTGTATTTGAATATGAAGGCCCCCCCCAGCACAGGTGGCCAACCTGATTACTTCCTACTGATTACCTCCCACCCCATTAGACCACTTACCACACGGTGCTTGTGGCTGGTGTCATCTTCTGCAGCACAATTGTGGTAGTTGCTTGGCTGCCACAGCCCCAACTCTCTGCGCTGGTGTCATCTTCTGCAGCACAATTGTGATAGTTGCTTGGCTGCCACAGCCCCAACTCCCTGCTCCAGCCAATCTTTTAATTTAATCACTTTTTTCTTTAAATAATTCTAAATAGACTTTCACATTGGCAGGGATATTCTCTATTTCAGTCGCTATTCTTAATGGAGAGTTAGATGAACATATTTTTTTTATATACTTATACCACACATTTAACATAGTTTTTAAAAAGGGGTTATTGATTTCACTTATTTTATATTTTGTTGTTAGCATAACCTATCATATAAGTCACCAGAAAAAAAAGAAACTCACTACACATGGAGTCGTTATTTTTTAATTCAACTCAGAAAATCATGAAGACATGCAAATTACAGGTTGAACCAGGTTAAAAAAATGCTCTGGACTTTTCAGTCTTTTACTGAAGTGTGATTTCCAAGGGTTCTCCAAGTGGTGCAGAAATGTGAATGGTGAGTTTCTGTTGAGAGAGAAAAAGAGAGAATGATACCAAACCATGTTTCATTGTTTGTTTCTTCTTTTGTCAAAATATCTCTGTTGCGCACTTCTCCAAGTACCTGACTAGACTGGCTTCCAATTGTTAATACGCTTCCTCAGGCTTTTACACTTCTCCAAGTACCTGACTAGACTGGCTCCCAATTGTTAATATGATTCCTCAGGCTTTTTAATTAACTGTCTAAATTTCCTCCTGAGGTACTCTGCATTGATTCCACATCTTGTCTCCTGAGGTACTCTGCATTGATTCCACATTTTGCAAAAACCAATTTTCCGAATGCCTCATAGTCCTTTGCCTGATCTTGGGGCATTTGAGAATAAATCTCATTTAACTCTCCACTTATTTGAGATCTTATCAGGATCATTCTCTCCTCATCTTTCACCTTATAATCCCAGCATGTCCTCTCGAAAGTGATGAGGAATGCCTCAGGGTAATCATCCTTTCTGAACTGAGGAAATTTCTTTAAGCCTGCTTTTAATAAATTCTCAGGATGCGAATTATTATTATTTTTGTTTCGGGCTGATAATTCCAATAGTCTCATTTCTAGTTGGAATTCCATCTCTTTTGCTCTCATAGCCATCTCTTTTTCTCTGGCCTCAGCCTCAGCCTTGAGCTGTAAAGCTTTTTCCTCAGCCCTAGTTCTCTCCCTTTCCAAATCTAGCTCCTTTTGCCTGGCCCCAGCCCTAGCTCTCTCCTTTTCCAAATCTAGCTCCTTTTGCCTGGCCTCAGCCTCAGCCTTGAGCTGTAACTCTTTTAATTTAAATTCCTGCTGCACCCTCCATCTGTCAAACTCTTGGGAAGTTAACCCAATTGGGAGGTATCTTCCTCCTGCTCCTCATGCTCAGATAATTCAGGGCTTTCCTCTTTGTGAGGTAAACTTTGAACATCCGATACCATTGTTAACCGTTTCCCTTTCTTAGAAGGCATGGTTTATTTGTTTTTCTTTTGGATGTTGGTTGGTTTAATATAGGCAAATAGACAAGCCTCAATTTAAAAACACTTTTTCTTTTTTCTGTGTTAGAGAGAGAGAGTGATATATAGTAGCCTTCCGTTAGAGAGAGAGTGATATATAGTAGCCTTCTGTGGCACCTGCAGATTGTTACTTAATTTCCTTAGGCATCCAGCCTCCCTGTCTCTGGTTCTGATACACTGTTTCTGTCATTCTCCAGACACCAAGCTTTCCCCCTTAATATTTATTTTATTCCAGCCACAGCTAGATTTAGTTTACTCAGCTATTTCCTTGACCCTGGCCTCCCTTCTACAGTGGTGCCTCGCTTTACGATTGCCCCATATTACAATGAAACCGCTTAATGATGAACTTTTTGTGATCGCTTTTGCGATCACAAAACGATGGTCTGAATGGGGGAATTTTGCTTTGCAATGATCGGTTCCCTGCTTCGGGAACTGATTCTTTGCAAAATGATGTTTTTCGAACAGCTGATCAGTGGTTTTAAAATGGCTTCCGGGTGATTAAAATGGCTCCCTGCTGTGTTTAGGGACGGATCCCTCACTATACAGGCAGCGAAAATGGCCACCATATGGAGGATCTTTGCTGGACAGTGAGTTTTTACCCCATTGGAATGCATTGAACGGGTTTCAATGTGTTTCAATGGAGTTTTTATTTTCACTTTACGATGTTTTCGCTTAACGGCGATTTTCCTGGAATGAATTATCATTGTTAAGCGAAGCACCACTGTATTCCCTTCAGCGCTCTTCTTTCAGAGCTTGGGATCCAAAGTTAGCCCCTTGGTCTTTCTCTAAGCTTGAGGTAAATGTTCAACACGAGAATTCTCCTCAGAGTCCTTTCTTGCTTTAGTTTTTCCACGATCAGGAGTCCCTTCTAAGCTATCCACACAGAGCTTTAGGGTTTCCTACTCCTTTTCTTTGGGCCTTGACTAACTAGACTCAAAGAATTTCTTTTCCCTTTCTTTGGCATACTGGAATTTATTCCCTTCGCATCCCATGGCTTACTGGAATTCAATTTGGATCTCACCAATGCTGCCACTACTTATGTTTTGCACCCTCAGTGTCCCTAGTTTGCTTCCCTCAAACCCAGGTCCACCTTTGGACACGATTTGCTTATTTCTCCTTTCACCAACTGCCACCAGTGGATCTTTATGCACACTTTACCAATAATGGTGCATAGACACGTGTTGTCAAATATAATTGATTATTATTTGGAAGTTGAATCACACAAGTAGGTTCATAGATGTTTTATTATGTTGCACTCATTAAACTTGGAAATTAAACACGTTTCTTTATTTGTATTGCCACATCAATCACTGGAATAAGCTCTGAGGACTGTCTATCTATTTTATTATACTTCTATCCTTTAACTATTATTTAACACATCAACCAACTACACCAACTTTCCAATCTCTCTCATAAACCTTCAAAACCTCCTCTCTCCTTCTCTCTCAGTCTCCAACTGTCTCCCTGATTCCGCCCTCCTGTCCTCTCATAGGCTCTTGCTCTGGAGCTCCACCTGACTGACAGGTGGGACATCGGGATTCCACCACAATCTCCAAATTAATGATAGGGATCACTGCAAAAGATGAGGAATTGAGCAGAGGGTTGACTTGATGGCCTTGTAGGCCCCTTCCAACTTCAGTTTTCTATGATTCTACGAGGAATGATCCCACCAAAGTTAAATATGCCACAGCCCCATAGATTTTAATGGGTTTGGATTACAATAGAACTGTAACTACAAGTTTTGAAACTTGAGGTTTTGCTGTGCTATTAGTTAAGGTTAGGTTGTAAGAGACTGGCATATGCAGAGGATGGAAGAACAGGAAGGAATGGTTGGGACCACTGAACATACTCCACACTTTTTATCTTCTGAGCTCACTTGTTTTATTTCAACAAGAAAAACAAAAGAAAAAAAGGATGTGGCACTTTAAAGACTAAGTGCTATATTGTTTTATTCTTCCTTCTGCCCAAGAGCAGCAGCTGGAGGGTCCTCAAGGCAGACAGGTTCATGACCTTCCAGCCACAAATACCAACAGTTGGGTGTGGGCCATTCCAGCAGTGGATTTTTATGCCCTCTGAATGTCTGCACCCTAGATCAAAGCCCTGGTCTAGTTTCATCTCTGGGCAAAAACCTAGTAAAGTGCATGCTTCAAACTTGCCTCCTGCCCTCAGTGAAGGACACTGCCTGATCATTTTTGTTGACACAAAATTCAGTTTGCTAGTGCAGTGTGTTCCTGTGTAGGGAATGTGGGGGGGGGGGAAGAGAAGGGACAACTTAATTTCCCCTCAGGCAGCAAAACACCTTGGGCCAGCCCTGAAGAAAAATGCAAGTTGTTTCCGGCTTCTTGGCTAAAATAAACAACAGACAAGCAGCTTCTGTGGGCGTCTGTAGCCTCAAAGGTTATTAGCTTTGGAACATATTATTTCACATATTTTCCTCCGTATTTTAGTATAGCATTCTCATCCACTTATTCTTGCATATTTTTGTTGCAGGAGGGGAAATTTGAACTATGTTAATGATAAACACTAATCCTTTTTGAAAATGATCTCTTCCCTCCTGTTTTGATTCAAGCAAAATTTCTTTCTCTTATTTGCTTTGCTTAACTACTTTCTTCAAGGTAAAAAAAAGTTTTGGGCAACACACTTTATTCTGTCTGCATTTCCCAGCTAGAAAGCACAGCAAAAAATAGTTTACTGCTTGTACCTTTAGTGATTTATTTCCAATGAAATATGATAGCAATCTAGGGACAGTACTCTTCCAACATGCTATAATAGCCATTTAAAGGCAGAAGAATAGTTAGATATATTGTACTGCTGCATGCTAAGAGATTTACATTAAATAACAGGACATTTTTAGGATGGAATAGCTTGCTCCCAGGTGGGGAGAGTGGAAGATTCCCCATTAAAAGAAAATTGATATTTTCTCCCTCACATCCTTTCTAGAATGAGAGACTTGGGAATCAAAACTGCCTATAAGGTCTAATTATCAGTCTCCCGTGTGGCCATATGTAGTTACTGTGCAGTGAGGAAAGAGCACTCTGCATGTTCTCTCCCTACTCTTTGATGTCACTTTAAATGTTTCCAGCCTGAACATCTGCAATAAAAGTACTTAGTTACTGAGGCTTAGCCCTAATTACTCTGGCTAAGCCATGATAGTTCCTAGACAGGAAAAGAAACACCCCAGGGTTACAGACACTATTACAGGCATCTGTTTTTGGTCATGCACAGAATTGCCCTTTTTTCCTCTTGGAATGCCACACTGATGGTGTAGCAATTACTCCAGCTGCCACTAGCTACATATAAAATAAGAAATGGTCAGCTAACTTCCTCTGTCCGTATACTTCTGTGCTGAGAAAACTGTCACCTATTAATTTCCATCGGTTTTCACAGTTCTAGAGACCATCACTGCTCATACAGGGTGGTTAGGAGGGCTTGAAGGAATTACATTTCTGGACCACAGAATCCTGGAATCCTCCAGCTAGTATGGCCAGAGGTCCTGCAGGTGGCAGGATTCTTGGTGTTTTAGTCCTAGAACATAACTTTTCCAAGCTTGGTGGGTATTTTTTCCCTAAAACAGGGCTGTGAGACCTGCAGATGCTGGTAAACTATTACTTCTATCATGCCTCACCACTGGCCAGTCAAATAGGAACTGGAGTGTGAAAATTATATGGGAGGATCACAGAATTTCTTGCCTGGGTCTAAGGCTAGCCATCCCTGCCTGTGATTTTCCATCACTCCTCCTGTTTTTGCATTTTCATTATGGATCGCAATTCAATTTCATTATGGATTCACAATTCATCATGGCATGTTTTACCATAGAGGTACAATGTACCTTGTGGTCACACACATGAGCATATTCCAGAAGTTGTAGGTGTCCCACCCAAAAATGGAACTTTCCCAGTCTCTGATTCCACATGTATGTGCAAAAAGCACACCCATGAACATCTTGCCAGCAGTGCCATGCGAAGATTATTCGAGGAAGAGCTTTTGGGGTGCTGATCTAGCTTCTGTCTTTCAAACACAGGTAGAATAAAAGTTTGCACAGCAGAGGGAGAAGGCCCAGTGCATGCCTCTAGGAGGCTGTTCCTATAGCCACAACATGACTCAATAGACCATGTTTTCAAGCAATAGGAATGACTCTTCCTGTCAGGGCCCTGCCAATAAATAGATGGAACATTGCAGACAATATTCCTGAAACAATTACATTAAGATAGTGAGCAACCGCCCCTAGTTTTATAGTCATTAGAGGTATGGAACAGAGCCTAAGGTAATGGAGTAGGAAAATACAGGTTGATGCAGGTTTCTGTGATCAATATCCCACAGCAAAGCCAAACCCAGCAGTTACCAAGGGATTCATTCGTTAAGCTCTGAGTACAAAGCCACCCAACTTTAGAGTATTCCTTTTGAATCCATATCTTACCATTGATACTAACATAAATATGTTCATTAATTAACAAGCACAACTCCTACCCCATTTCCATGATAATATGTGTCATCACGGATGGCCTTTCCATTCAGAAGAACTCTCCGAGGTTTTGAGGTTACACCAAGGATCTGAATTGTGTCATACACCAGAGAATCAACTCCCCGGTAGTTGTTGTTAACAATTCTTGTCTCCAGGTGACCCTAAAATAATTCAGAAGAACATTATTTTATTAAAACAAAAGCATACAAGGCCAGGGAGGACTAATCCTCATATTACTTTGTTTGGTCATGCACAAAATTGCCCTCTTTTTTTTGCTCTTGGAATACCACACTGACAGTGTAGCACAAGCATGATATCAGACTGGCAAACTGGCATAGGAAGGACCAGCTGGCATGTGCATCAAATCATGGTTATGTATCATAGCTGCAATATGATGGCTTAACCCTCATTCTGACTGTCATGCAAAATATTATACAAAATGTACTGAAGTCTCCAGTATTTTTCCCACCATCCATCCAGTGTTGCCTCCTTATGAACAGGAACTAGATGGGGGTTTTGACCGACTTCCGAAACCGTTTCTTCCTTCCTCCACCATTTTGGGTTTTGTTTTTTTTCATTCTACTTTGTCAACTTCCACTTTGTCAACTTCTCCTTGCCTTTTGGAAACACCCCCTAGCCTGTACGTTGTGTCAGGGATGTGTGGGTGTGTCTTTTTACACTTTTACAGATTTACAAAAATAAGAAAAGGAGGAAAATATAACATGGCAGAGGTGCCAGTAGTGTCATAGGGAGAGGTGAAAAGCAACAGCATGGTAGCCAGTGGGGAGAACAGGAACACCGAAAAGGGTGTGTGTGTATGCAGCAGCAGAGAAGAAAGCAAATGGGAAAAAGAGGTGCTAGGAACTTTCATTGCTACATGGGACGGGCCAGAGTACGTATCAGAGACAGCAGTGGCTCAGGGAGGCTGTCAAAAGATGGCAGCATAGTGACACCGGAACAAATAAAACAGGGGTATGGCAGGGGATGAACACTCGAAATTACTGAAGCAAATGTCTCTTCTCTGGAAGAGCTCCTAGTTATAAACATATCTACAGGTCATCCTAATAAGTTCCCATGTGTATCTTTTTAAAGGTACCTCAAAATAGGAGGGGATTCAATTCTGAGGAAGCATTAAACTCTGGAGATAATTAACAGCCAAACCCAAGCCAAAACAAAATCTGGCTTTGGCTTAGTTGCAGGTGAAACAGCATCTGAAAAGCAGTTTAGCCCCCCCCCCCAATCCCGTGGAGAGTGGTGAATGTATGCCTATTTTTTCCTTTTTACTACCCAAAGTAAACCTGATTCCAGCCTCGACCTTCCAGGCCAGGGGTCAGCAGACAATGGACTACGTGACGAATACAATTTGCACAGATCCCGTACCAGTGCACTGTGGTTTCACACCTGATTTTATTAGTACAGGTCTCAGATCATATCTGGGTAAGCTGGGCAAGGTATAAGTTTAAACAAACAAACACATAAATAAACTTCTCAGGTCTGCTGAAGACCACATTCCCTAGATGGTGTGCTAAGGAAGAAGGTATTCCAGACAGACTAATTTGCATATTTAATTTGTTACTGTCTAGAATCCTATTGAGGATTTTGGCAACTGGCATGCAAACAGGAATGCAAGTAGCAATTTGTTAATTAGGAGAAATTTACCACCCTAGTTTATACAATTATGTTTATTTAGATGTAAATCCCCAATAAGATGCTGGGCACTATTTTTAAATTCTTTTAATACTGTGGTTATGTACTATGAAGGTTGTTGCAATGGAATATATACCATATTTTTCCATGTATAAGACCCCCCACTTTTCTGACCCAAAAGTAAGAAATCTAAGTGGGACTTAGCAAGTGTAGGGGCAAATGGATCAAAGCCCTGCAGGATCACTTTAATCCCTGCTTTCCTTTTCAATTGTTTTTGTTCTCTCCACAGCTTACTTCCGTGTATAAGACGACCCTCAATTTTTATTCTAAATATTTTAGTCAAAAGTGCAGTCTTATACATGGAAAAATATGTGCGTGCATGCGTTTGTGTGTGTGTGTGTGTGTGTGTGTGTGTGTGTGTGTGTGTGTATTATCCCAGATTTTGCTGTTTGCTGTATAACAAACTGCTGATGGCAGAATACAGAAGACGCAAGCCATTTTCATTTTCTGGAGGAATCAGTTTGCATTTGATTGCCAGCTCTGCAGCACTTGTGTTTCTCCCCCACTTTCTGTCATACACTCGTATGTGAAATTCCTACTTGCTTTTCAGCCTACCTCAGCTCTCACGTCAACATTGCAAACACTGATATACTTAAAACTGCAGATGGATACAGATAAGGTGGGCACCAGGATCTGGCAAAATCACACATACCCTCACCTTCTGTAGGACACAATGCGACTTCATGAACAAGATTTTAGTTTAACATTTGTTCAAAATTATGGGGTGGAGGTGCTGGGGAACTCAAGGGGTGCTGGGAACGCAAAAATGGAGGGGCTGTCTTAGAGACATACCTTTTAGCACTCAGGGAATAACTGGTAGTGGATGGTACCTGCTATTTTCAGTAGCAGTATTGGGATAAAAAACATAGTGCTTAATAGCCTCCTACTATTTTTCTACAATTCACTAACTATGAATATACTTGGAAAGTAATATCTGTTCCAACTTTAATCTTCTAATTTCATTAAACAGATTTGTTGAGAATAAGCCATGAATCTTTATCACTATCCACTCAGAATTAGTGTTCACAAAGAATATTTTTAATTCACTAACTTGCATTTATCCCTCAATTTAAATGCATTACAAAACAAATGGAATATATGAATTAGCCTAAAATCAGTTCTTGAATCCATCAGCATCTAAGTTACTTATAAGTAAAATTATTTAATTAATTGTGTGCCGTCAAGTCAATTCTGACTTATGGTGGCCCTTTCCACAATTTTCTAGGTAGAGAGTACTAAGAAATGGGTGTCCTGGGACCATGCAGCTTGCCCAAAGCTACACAGGCTGGCTCTTCTGGAATGCACAGCGGGGAAACTCCCAACCATACCTAACTCACTGAGCTATCCAGCTACTCATAAGTAAAATTAGCAGGCCAGAACACTGACCAAAGCACAGAGCAACCCAACACAGGATTGCACCAGGTTTGACCACTTAAAAATCTCCATGGGGCTTCTCCTTTCTCTTCTTCTTTCTGAGAATGGGTTTGAAAAAGCCCAAACCTCCTGTCCCTGCAGTACGTGCTGACACAATAGAAACAAATGAAGAAAGCCACATTCTTCAGTCCTGACTCCTTTTCTTGAATTCCAGTTCCGAGATCCTCAAAACCGAGGCAGGATGGAGAGGATCGTACAGTGGGGTCTCGACTTACGAACGTTTCGACTTACGAACCGCTCGCATAGGACCATATGGACTCGACCTACGAACTTAGATTCGAGTTACGAACTCTTCCCCCCCCCTTTTTTTAAAGCTAAGTCATCTTAGGTTAAAAGAAAAAAAAGAAAAAATATCCCCCTCTAGTGGCAGAAGGCGGAATAGCAGCTTCCCATTAGTTTCTATGGACGAAAAGAGCAGATACGGATTAAATGGTTTTCAATGCATTCCTATGGGAAATGCATATTTGACTTAAGAACTGTTCGACCTGAGAAATGGCGTCCAATACGGACTAAGTTCGTAAGTCGAGACCCCACTGTATCTGTGTTTCCTAGACCTTATCTGCTCCATCCTTCCTTGGTCCCAAGAACTCCCTTTAAGAAAATCTCTAGTGCTGTCTGGCCAATGAAACTTACAGATCAATAAGAATGGAATTCCCCAAAGAGGGTGTTCTGGCCAAAATCTGGGCCAATGACCTCTCTAATTTAAATGGAAGCGGAAAGCTAAAAGGCAGAAGCTGATGATCTCATCACCACCATCCTTGCTAGAGATGGGCATGAACCTCAGCTTGGAAGTTCATGTTGGTTCGTCAGACCAGCACCACAAGTGCGACGGGTTCCCTTCTCCCACTCCCCTGGCCGGCTCCCCCACTCACCAGCTGATATGTGCTGCCTTTCTCCTGCTCTTTGCTCAATTGACCAGTCCCATCAGGAACATGTGTTTCCCTGCTCTGCCTCCTCCAGTAGCTGCCCAATCAAAGCCAGCACTGCAGGAATCCCTGCTCCACCTCCTCATCTCAGTGGGTGGCTGTCAGAAGAGACAAAGGAGGGAAGCATGTGGTCCTGCTGGGACTGGTTAAATGCGCAAAGAGGAGGAGAAGAGCAACATGTGCTGGCTGGTGAGTGAGAGAGCCGGTTGGGGGTGGGTGGGTGAACTGAACATACGACACCCAGAGTGCCAATCCAACAAACCAGCACAAACCTCCGAACTGAGGTTTGTGCCCATCTCTAATCCTTGCTAATCAAAAAGTCTAGACACTCTGGCAACTGAGAGCCCTGAGTACATTACAGCACTGATTATAAAAGCAACAAAAGATCAGCTATTAAGGAAAGCACAATAATTGTTTTGCCAAGTTAGACCAACGTCCATCTGTTTCCAACAATGGTTGACTAGAAGCTTTTGAACAGAACATCCCTTCAACAGCATATTTATGTGAAGATTTTAATGTCTCTTTGATTCTACTGCAGTTATTACTAGCCACCCTTTCCTTTAAAAAAATTGTGGCTTATAAATACGTTTAAGCATCTCTCACTCACAATAGCTTTTAAAAGAGCCAGTTTTTCAATCAGACTTACATTAATGCACATACAAGGCCTCTGCTTATTTCAGTGACGCTGTCCTCTACTATATTCAACTGCAATTTTAATTACATCATGTTTGCAATGTTGACTTGACAGCTGGGGTTGGCATAAATGCAGGTAGGAATTTCACACAAGAATGTGTGACAGGAAAAAAAATATATCTGATTTTAGCAATGTGAAATAGAAGTGCCAAAGAGCTGGCAATCACACTCAAACTGACTTCGTGCAGAATGTGAGAGCAGATAAAGTCTTTCTGTGTTCTGCCTTCAGCAATTTGCACTAAACCAAACAGAAGAACGTGGGATAATCTTTACCCTCCATTTCTGTTCAGGTTATGTCGGCTTCCTCCAGGAGAACAAGATAAAAGCATTTGGAAGAAAGCAGAGAGGAAGAGCCTTACAACACTTGGCAGCATCCTCTGTTTTAGAATGAATATCTGAGATTAGTCTCTGTAGAAATCATCACACAGAAAAGGAGTCATCAGTCTTTTCCAGTTCATTGTCAGGGCTGGAAGCAGGAGGTCTGGCTGCAGCATCACAGGAATATTAATGGCCTTTGCTTGTTCTAAATGGGCCCTATTAATTGCATACTTCTGGGACTGAGAACCTCAGAGACATCATCCTTGGGGAGGGTCTCTGGGGACTGGGACCGAATGGAGACATGGGTTCCGGCTGGGTCTTTCTCTGCTGCAGCAATCAGGACATGATTCCATCATCTTTCATACTCTGATTTTATTGCAGAGAGAAATATAGGGTAATTATACACGCTGTGAAACAGCAACACTCCTGCTTATTATGTTGTGTGCTTTCTGTGAGTGAGGGGGGAAAATCATCTGGATTTGGTTTCCTTTTGGATAAGAGAATGCTGAAGATTAGTATTTTTGTAATAACAGCTTCATTTGCAATGCACAGCTAGAATTCAAGCGGCGCAAAGAGCATGCAGTCCTAGGAAGCAGTAGGTTAGTTAATACACATGAAATACCCAGGAAAGGGCTCTGCAAGAAAGCACCGGGTTCTTTCCAGCTAATACACAAGTCTCTTTCTCTCTGCCTTGGCGTTTCTTTTTGTATCATGCAAGTGCACTTCTGGAAATGCAACCAGCACCCTCATTTAATGAATGGTGATTTATGCCCAAGGCTTACACCATTTCCCTTATGCTATCATAAATTGGCAATAGAGTTCTGGCCTCTTGGTTCTTACGTTCCAACCTGTTGTTTCTTCGTCTATGATTGACCACTTTTTCTTACCTGCTAATGCAACTATCTCTAAGCTCTAACAATTAGGTTAACAAATTTTATTTGGCAAAATGCTTTTAATGGACCGCAGCCCGCTTCATCAGATGCTCTGAATGATTTCCCCAACCATTCATTTCCGCTGATTAAACCTTCAGCCAGCCATTTTGGGCTATCAACAATCTCTGTAAGAAAAGGATAGCTGATCAGCAGCCTACAACATTGTTTACCAAAAGGTAAGGGTTGCACGAAGCAGAATAAGAATGGCTGAAATCCATTGCTGGGGACAGTGAGGAGACTATGTTAGCTCCATTCTCCAAAGTTTAGAATAGAAACTGGGCAGGCATATGTGCCATCAATGGTTCTGAAGGAACTGAATGGGAGCAGAGATGAGGAATATATCCTGTTCCCTCAAGTAATGTTAGGCTGTAACTCCCATCTTCCTCCTCCATTGGCTACCAGGGTCAAGCTGAAGGAAACTACAACCCAAAAGCATCTTGAGGACCACATGTTGCCCAGTGTTGGTGGTCTGAAGGAGGAGGACTATGCAATTCATTGTTTTAACTCCTAACAAAAACTAAGGACTGGAATCCTTCCAGTTAGTTATGCTGGTGTAGAGATGACTGCATAACCTGCATCAGCAAATTGCTGCTAGTTAGTAAGTGGCCACCCTTATCCCTCACCACACACCAGCCAATACAACTAGAGTGCAACAATACAACTAGAGAGCATCCTTTGTTGCACTAGTAAGAATTTGCCGGTGCACTTTTACCCCACTGCACTTAACAAAAGTGCAAATAAAAAAAGACTCTGCCCCAAAATCTATATTTCTTTCCCAAAAGGAGAGAGGAAACTGGCTTGTCTTTACATTACTTTTCCCAGTTCTCCTTTCTTCACCTGGTCGTAGCAGAGGCAACAACTGCCTCATTTATACCCATTGTCACTCCTTACTTAGTGTTTACTTCTGGATTTTCCCGTCTTAACCATTATCCACAACTGCAACACACGTCCTTTCCTTGCCTAGTTTCTGCCCATGATTATACAGTACTTACTTCTCGGTATGTATATTTGGTCAGGAAATAGTTTCCACTCTCAACAGTGTCTGCCAAAACACAAGCCACAAGACAATGTTATTATTAGGCCATCCAAAGAGCTGGATGAGTGGCAGTTTGTTTTTAGATAATTGCATAATGAAGAAAACAATATCCAAACATCTGCTTGACCATTCAAGGGTTATTATCCAAATTTCTGGGTTTTACACAGGAGGCTGTCAGCCACTGTTGTTTCTACATACTATCGAGTCATATCGAACTTACAGTGACCCTATGACTGTAAAGGTTCTATCATTAACAGTACTGCTCCAGTCGTGAAAACCAAAGGTTGTGGGTTCCTCCATCTCACATCAGAGCTTTCTCTTTTCCTACTGCCTGGTTTAGTCCATTAGCTTTTAACAAGTATTTCGGTTTCATTAAATGAAGAGGACACTTGTTTTTCTGGTGGTCTGTGATATCTTTAAAGTTCTCTTCCAATACCACATTTCAAATGAATTGATTTTCTGTCAGTTTTCTCTACTGTTCAGCTTTCAAAGGCATACATCGTAACTGGCAATAACATAGTATACATGATCTTGGCTTTGGTCTCCAGCCATATATCTTTACACTTAAAGATCATTTCTAATTCTTTCACAATTTCTCTTCCCAGATTCAGTCTTCATCTGATGTCATGGTTATAGCTTCCATTAAACTGATGACTGAACTAAAGTATTGAAAATTTTAATGATTTCAATTTCTTCATTTTCAGCATTGAACATATGCAATTTTTTTTTGCAGTCATGATTTTGCTTTTGCTTGTCTGATATATCTGCCAACTGGAAACCATTCTCTTTTGCCATACAGTTGTCCTAACAGAAGCCTTTTATCTAGAATATAGGTTCCAGAGCAGGACAATCAATGCTGTTGCACACCAATTGTTCTTATTTTTAGAACAAGCCACAGCTTTTCCATGACATTGTAATCTGCAAAGCACAAACTGACAGTGCTCTTCATACTTATGTTTCACTCTTCTTCAGTAACTGACTGAGTAGCTTCAAACCTGGGTGTTGGAACCTCTTCCAGCACTATTTCTTGTTTCATTTTGGATTGTCTCATCATAGGATTTTCAAGATATAAATATTCGGAAATGCAAAGACTAACAAGACTTAACTCATCACTGTCTGTGAAACATTTTCTGCCAGTGTTAATTTTGAGTGCTGCTGCCACCAAATAGCTACACTTCAACAATTTCTCCACTTCCATCACCATCAGAACTATCAACTCTCTTTTGCTGACTGTTAATTCCAGAAGAGGATGGTATATCTTAGTTTGCTGTTTCAGCTTTGACCATTCCACCATGGACTGACTCTGCTAGGAGTTCAGAGTTGTAATGGAATCTAGCCCCCTGACAATATTGCTTCCTTGACACACAAGTCCCTCATCAAATTAAGGTGTGCATCAGAGAAGGGTGTGTGTCAGCCACTACCATATGATTTTTACTCTGCATAAAATGTATACTTCAGATATAGATTTTACCTCAGCATCATTTCCAGGTTTTCAAAGCAATAATTTCTGATGTTTATAAAGAGGAGGTCAAAATCAGAACCCATTCTGCCGCGGATCTGACACAGGTGTCAATCACAAACTTCTCAGATAAGCTGATCTGTTGTCACTAACGACACTACAGCAATTCTGAACACTTACCGATCGATTCACCGTCATCCCAGAAGAGAGAACCATAGGCTTGGCCTTGTTCATCCACAGCGATAATAAGTCCAAATGGATTCAGGCGGCTGTAGAGGAAATCAGCATGGCAGGTTAGCTTAAAACAAGAGGAAGCACGATCCAGCAGTGTAGTCCTGTGAGCAAGTGGCAGCAACTGGCAAAAGAGAGAAAAGTCTCCCAGGAGCTCCCAAATTTCCATCTGCAAAAAAACAGCCATGGAGGTCCTATCTGTGCACTAGACATTGGACTGAATCCAAAGGAAGGCAGGCCCACATGCATGCCTTCCTTGATCAAATCAGCATAGCAAAAATGTTACCTGCAGGGACATCACAAAAACTGAGAAGAGTAGTAAGATCATTGGTGTCTATGTCCACTAATTGTTACGGGCGTTATCCTTTTCAATATTTCTGCACAGGGAACTCCAGGAGCGGAAGCTGCTATGGAACTCTGACAATGCTGGTCATTTGCCCGGCTTTCATGAGGCTGCCACCAAGTCTCATCATCATTGCAGTTTCTCAGAACTGAAGCTCAGCATGCTTGCAAATACTGGCCAATGTATTTAACTATATAGTGGTAACAAATATGCCATGTTGGTTGTGGCGCAACCTTAATACCTTGGCCACGCTTACATAACTTTGAAACAGGGATCAAATTATATTGCACACCTTGACTCATAGGAATGATCATATTATGAATATAAACCTGTTAGTTACCTCTTGGCAGTTCTTGTGGCCGGTTTTTGTGTTGGCAAAATGCTTCCTCCTCGAATAAACAGTGGTATCTTTTCCAGAGGGGCATCAACACTGACATATTTATTGTGTGATGAAGCCGGTATTTTATCACCCTATTAAAAAAAATGGATACAGCTGAAGAACTCTTCTGAAAGCAATCTGGTCAGTGTCTCTTGGCTATCTAAAGTACAAAATCATATCACAAACGGCACATAAAGAGGTTTTCCCCCTCCATTTCCTGCATATCTAATTCCAGTGGCAACCTCTACTGATGGTAGTGGTGGTTTTCAGACTGTGCTAGACTGCACTCTGGCACCATGATGTACGACAAAAGTGAAGTCCACCAGCCTTGCAAAATGCAAACTGAAGGTGTGCTTCAGCATATGGCTCAGTCTCCTTTGCAACCTGCAACAGAGCTCAGAAAAATTGATCTTGGGACTAGAGAGTTCTCAGAATTCCTCAGCCTTGATAGGGAATCCTGGGAGTTATCTGCCAAATAACTAACTTCTCCAGGTTCTGTACCTCTGAACCTGCCATAAGATCCAAAGGGACACAGAAAGTGTTTTTGTTTTGGATGAAAAGTTGGAAACTGAATATACCTGATAGAGTAGGGGTGGGTGCAGGAGTGCTTCATCTTCCAGATGTCTCTTGGCCTATACAGTCATTCTATAATCCTTCATCACTGCTTATGCTAGTTAGGGCTGATGGGAATGCCAGCCAATAAAATAAAATAAAATAAATCCAGAAAGATGTTGCTCACTGGGGGAAGAGAAGAGCACACCTGCCCATCCTTGAGCTGGAGGAACCATAAATTCCTGCCTCCATGCTTTTGTTGCACTTTATACGCTGCGTCCACAACATTCCCAAAAGGCATACTGCAGAGTTTTACTTGTGAAAACTCTCTAAGAAACAGCTGGATTCAGGCCGAATTTGCATCACCATAATTCCAGACTCAAAGCAACTTCCAGCTTCAAGTATGCAACTGTATCAAACAAAATGTGGCCCATACAAGTTTCTATGAACAACAACAAACAGATAAACAAGAGGGCACAAAACAAATGTATACCAAATATTATCTTTCAGGATTGGTTCGTGGCCAACATTTGGAGATTAGGCACAGGCATGCGCACACATGCACACACACAAACACACCACTCATATCACAGGTTGTTAATGGTGACAATGATGAGCTTCCCAATATAATCAAATGAGTGGAAGCATGTATGGAAGCATTCACGTGGTTCTAATGTTTCTTTACATTTAGTACCAATATAATGAAATACAGAGATACAATTTTTAATATCAAGTGTGCTGGTGGAAGATAGGAAATGTACAGTGAAAGGAAACCCTGTTCAACTGGGTCACAATTTCCTAGGCTTCTTACAATGTCAGAACTTTACAGTCAGTATCCTATTATCTAAATGCAGAGCAACAGAGCAATGCAAAAAAACAGCCATGGAGGTCCTATCTGTGCACTAGACATTGGACTGAATCCAAAGGAAGGCAGGCCCACATGCATGCCTTCCTTGATCAAATCAGCATAGCAAAAATGTTACCTGCAGGGACATCACAAAAACTGAGAAGAGTAGTAAGATCATTGGTGTCTATGTCCACTAATTGTTACGGGCGTTATCCTTTTCAATATTTCTGCACAGGGAACTCCAGGAGCGGAAGCTGCTATGGAACTCTGACAATGCTGGTCATTTGCCCGGCTTTCATGAGGCTGCCACCAAGTCTCATCATCATTGCAGTTTCTCAGAACTGAAGCTCAGCATGCTTGCAAATACTGGCCAATGTATTTAACTATATAGTGGTAACAAATATGCCATGTTGGTTGTGGCGCAACCTTAATACCTCGGCCACGCTTACATAACTTTGAAACAGGGATCAAATTATATTGCACACCTTGACTCATAGGAATGATCATATTATGAATATAAACCTGTTAGTTACCTCTTGGCAGTTCTTGTGGCCGGTTTTTGTGTTGGCAAAATGCTTCCTCCTCGAATAAACAGTGGTATCTTTTCCAGAGGGGCATCAACACTGACATATTTATTGTGTGATGAAGCCGGTATTTTATCACCCTATTAAAAAA